AAAAAAAAACTCAACTAACCAAAGATATTCACTATTCTTAACCAAATAAAAAATAAAAAACTTTAGTTTGTATACACATCCAACAATGATTCATCCAACTCACAGTAACTGCGGAGATAGTATTTCTCAAATGTCGTGATAATCATGCCTCGGTTACAACTATTTATCACACAGTGCTCTCAAAAAGCAACTCTAACATGAACCACATTTTATGTTGATAAAAAAGAAAAACAAAGATATGGTAGGCCTAGTTGGGCCATGAATAGCCAATTATTGTACTGACAGTTCAATTGGAACATGAAAACGTAATGTTACTCTTCGAGGTGGTGTGGCAGAGGGAGGGAGTTGGGGAAAGGAATTCTCGAACCATAACCATATTTGGTGAAGCAAACTGTTATCTCATTGCTAAAATAAAAAAAAAATTACAAAAGCACTACATTAACGAGAACAAATCATCCACGTATCTGTGCAAAAATATCCAGTCCTCTCCCACTTTCCCCACTCTGAGGTTTACATTAATAGCCCAAATTACAAAGTTTGACCCTTTTCTATGACATTGTTAGACCCTTTAACTTATGACGGAGTAGTACCGACACGATGATCTTATTTAAGGTGAAATGGGCTCAATTTGCATTAGAGCTGTAAATATGGGCCGGGCTAGCCAGCCCGATCCACGTGGGCTTTAGCAATTGACGGGCTGGGCTAAGCTAGCCCACCATTTTGATGGCCTTTATAATGATCAGCCCACCCCAGTCCAATATGGGCCGCGGACCCCCACGGGCCGGCCCATCAATTTTAAAAATATAATTTTATATTTTTTCTTTAAGTTCTGACATAAAAAAGATAATTATTTAAAAGTTAAAAAATATCTTTTGGGAAAAAATTCGCAAAACTTAATAACTTTTTATATTGTTCCAATATATCACAATAAATACTAAAAAAAGTAAAAGACAGAACTATATTTCATTCACTAAAAGTCAAAACTTAAAACAAATTATTCAAGAGAACGTTCGTGATGCTTATGAAATATCCAACACATCATCTTCATCAAACACATTTGAATCCGCTTGTGACAAGGATGTCTTAACATATTCACTTTCATCTACAATTCATATGCAATATTATTTAGTTAAATATTAAAAATAAATAAATTTTTAAAATTAATAATATTTAAATTCACATAAAATAATATTACCAGTTTGAGTTCGGAAAAACCTGTGCAGCCAATTTCAAGTAGTAACAAGTGTTTGGACATTTTCATAATAAATGCAACTTCTGTACTTTGTAAGAACACGCCACTAATGCTAAATTTTAATTCCGATGGTACAATGGCAATAAGAATGCTAAGTGCATCACGCACCATCACTGAAAGATCAGGATATTTTCTAGAATGGTCCTTCCAATACATGACAACATCATCTCTTGAAACTTATTAAGATCAAGTTTTTATTCTCTTAGTAAAGATCCAATTTTGACTTTCCATCTCTAAAGGTAGTATATTTTTTGTTTTTTATATATTTTAAATAAATATTTTATTAGGCCCACGGGCCGAGCCGGCCCAGCCTCAGTCAAACCTCACGGGCACGGGCTTACTCGGGCCGGGCTTAAAAGCCTCATTTTTAAACAGACTCCAAAAATTCTAGCCCATCCCTGCTAAATCACGGGCTGGGCTGGCCCAACGGGTCAAGCCCATATTGACGGCTCTAATTTGCTTTGAGCTATCTAGCCACCACAAAGAGAACTTGGGAATACCTAAAGATGGTCGTAATTCCTCAAAGAGCAGTGTGTTTCAGCCTTTTAACGAAGCGGTTGCTACGTCCGAGGGAGCTATCAACATTAAATTAGGGAAGAAGGTTTATCTTCATCCCAATACCATCCAAAAATGATCAATTTTCCCTTTCTATGACATTTTTTATCAATTCATACACTTATCATTGTCAAACCATCATGTATTAGCTCCTTATCATTACCTTAACTCCAACATAAAACGGGTGAACTCTCTCCATGTGGCCAAATTCTTTAAGAAAAGAAACCCATTTTTACCCAACTTTTGGCTGTAGCTTCAAACTAGCTCAAGTTCAAACTTCGTTAGGACAAGTAGACTTTCCACACTTGGCCAACTTAACAGATATCCCTTGCATGGTACTTCTAAATTCTAACTACCAACAATAAACAGAGATGAAATCTAAGAGGAAAATAAAAATGTTAACAATGAAACGAATAATAGGCTTCACTGCAACTAGGGGACTTGAATTGGATTCTGGCCGTAATATACATCTTTAAAAGGCAAGTACAAAATAAACTAAAACAATATCCTCAAGCTAGAGCATTTTAAATATATGGGCTTCTCCATAATTTCCAAGACGAAGTGCATTCCATGACACTATCACCGCGATTTAATTAGAACTACATTGCAAAACCCATAGACCTTGAGTTGAACAAGAACAAAATAATCAAAGATTACAGAGCGGAGTCACAAAGTCTCGCTATATATTGAACAGGGTCACCATCGACAGCAGAATGAATCAAACCAAAAGGAGATTTCTTTTACAATGTTACCTACTACAGCTCAACTCAAGATTTGACTAAATAGATGCATACTCCAAAATGACACCCAACATAATTTAATTATAAAAAAAAAAACTCATCCAAGAAAATAGAGAACAAAAGAAAAAATAGAGCAAAAAAGCAAACCAGCAAAAAGGGAAAGGCAGAAAAAACAAACAAGTAAAACATGCAGCTGAACAACCTTGTCAGTGTCTGTATAGGTGTGGTTGCTTCATGAAGCTCAAGTGAAATCTGGAAGGATGCCTCATATACAATAAATATAACTCATTCGGAACAACTCATACAACAGCTAGTGGTATTGAAATATACGAGATGTTCCACCATCGTGCCAGTGGTGGATGCAATGGATATTCACAATTATACTACGACCAGGGAACTAATATCATTTTGGAATTTTAATGTGAGCGGTGGTGGGAAAAATAGCTAGTCACATTAAGTGATAGCACCATATAAGCTTAACTCCACTGGAGGAGCAAATATTATCAATATCAAGATTCGAGGAGGAATCTTCTTTGAGAAGGGGAGAATAATAGCAACCATGGAAGCTCAAAGTAATTAAAAGACAAGGATGAAGCTTTAGAAGCTCCAAGAAGGCCCTAGACACGATCTCAAACAAAGAAGTTTCGAGACAAGCTCAATGAGCTTCAATTAGCAATTAAAAAGTGTTTTATGTGGGAAAAGAGCTCCAGCCCAAGGAAGATCATTCGGCCAAGTCTTATAGCTATTTGGAGTCCCAATTGAAGTCCAAGAGGAGATGAAATGTGGCCCAAATCTGCCCCAAAAAGGAGCAACTACAGCAGCCCACTTTAGTATTATATCAACCTAGTTTCTAGAATTTATATTTAAGGTTTTGTATTATTCTAGGTTGACCCCCTTTAAAACTTATTAAACAAAGTGTGGATAGTATTCGATGCCCCTAGGGATTATTATTCCTATTTATTTTTGCTTTGACCAGCCCCCTTCTTCACTAAGTACAATATAAGGAGTTGCCTTGTTCCTTCACTGTAACTAAGATTGAAGATTATTATTGATAATAGTAGCCTTTGGCTTTGTAGAGACCTTGTAAGGTTCTCTTTGGGGTCTGCCTTTTTGTTCTATTTTGAACTATTACTTCGATGTCTTCAACTGTAAGATTCCTTGTTTGAGTTCCCTCCGTCATATTCTTCTTCTTTTTCTATGTATTATTCACTGGTTCAATTTCAAATACTTGAGTTTGTGTTTTCTTTCAAGAATCAATCATTCCCTCTTTCAGCCTTCTAATTTAAAGTCTTCCGCAATCCGTATTGTTAAAGGGTGACATACAGTTATGGATGAGCACACCATCTTGACAAGGAACTGATACACAACAAAATACTCCAATAGATTGTTTGGTAATACAAAGATTAGATTGTTATGCTGTGAACAAAAACATAAGATTGTTATAAAGAGATTGTGATACAAAAGTCAAGAGCTTAATCCTCATATTGCTAATACACGTATTCTTATTCCACAATCTTTTAAAACAAAGAGATAGATTCTTGAATCAATTATGCAGAGTGAAATATTAGAAACCAAGCACCCTATATTAGTAAAATGCAGAGTTGTATAACTAGTAACGTACACGTATATACTAAAAACAAAGTGTTGTACTAATACTGCATCTACTTATGTTAGATTTATATACATATCAAACACCTGCTCTGTCCAGGAGAGCACTTCAAATTAAAGAATTCATCACCCATAACTGTAAAGAGCATCCTCTACAAAAACTAGCTGCAAGCCTCCAACATTGCTGAAACTACAAACTTTGGGGTATGGAAAAACTTATAGCCACTTTAGAGAATTCCACAAGAGAATATAATGATACATTGTAATGCATCATCCCCAATATACAAACTAAATTCAAAGAAAACACACAAGTATCATTTTCTATGACGAGCATTACCTTGTAACGAACCTTAACACAATGACTGGTACATGTCACAAGACATTCAAAACAAACAATAAATAAGATCAACTTAATGAACTGTAAATCTTCAAACACAAGTATGCAATTGAAACAGCCTCTCTACCTTCTTAAGGTAGGGGTAAGATCTGCATACACGCTACACTCACCAGACCTCACTTGTAATATTACACTAGGTTTGTTGTTGTTGTTGTAAACACAATTATGCAGTAAAACTTTTGTTGATAAGGTAAATAACTTATACAGTATATAATCCAATGCAAAGGAGGAGGGACCTACTCCGTAACATTTGGTGACCAGTAACTTACGGATTCCCTTAAATCATCAAGTGCATTTTACACACAAGGATGAAAAAGTGAAACCACAGTACAATTAAAGGCCTTTTGTTCATAATATTCAGTACAATTAACAGTAAAATATGCATGCACATGGATTCATAGATGACCAGAAAGATAAACCGTTTATACACTTACAGATACCACCCCCATCAAACCACCTCCTTAGCCGGCTTCTTCAGATCATCATCGACAACCTTAGTAGGAAGAATCACGTATCCTCCCAACTTTTTAGGGCTAACGTCATCATCGAAATCATCATCGTCGGAATCCTCCTCAAAATCAAAAGCGGTGGGCCAGAACAGAGACCGGATCAGGTACATCATGGCAGCAGTTAAAGCGCCACAACCAGCCCCAAAAAGCATCGCTCCCATAACCCTCATGATATCCTTTGATCGGTCACGAATCGAGCTTTTGACGGCCGAGTAAAACTCCATCGGCTTCGATACATCTTCTTCTTCTCTTTCTACGAGCTGATTTTCTTCTTCTTCGCCGCCGATACGGTCGACGAAAACAGCGTTGCGATCACCGAGAAATTTGTTGAATCGGGCTTTGCTGTCTCCGTTGAAGGGATTGGATGTGGTGAAGAAGAAAGTTAGGAATCGGGGAGAATTCAGGGGAGTGTATTGGAGCGAAAAATTAGGGTTACGGTTAGAGTTAGAAGGATGGGTTGATGCGGGAATGGGGTAATAGGAGGTGGAGGTGAAGAAGAAGATGGTATTGCAGGGTCGGCCGGTGGCGGAGACGGCGAGGAGAGAGAGGCCGAGGAGGAGAAGAGGGAGCTTCCAGGTCGACATTGACTCGTGAGAAGAGAAAAGCTGTCGATGAAGAAAAATGAAAGAGGAAATGCGAAAATATGTGATTCGGTGGGTGAGGTGCTGAGAACTTGAACTAGCGATTCAATTGACTTTTCTGTATAAAAATAATTGACTTTTTGGTCTTTCTCTCTTTTTTCTTTTTTTAAAATAATTTATGGAATTGTTTTTTTAAAAAAATTTCTTGTAGCACATTTGAATTTTTTTTCGTTATGAAATTGATTTTGATAATAGGAAAAATAATTTTATCTGCAATAACAGATAAACTCTACATAAGCATAAATATGATATCATGTAAACTAAAGTAATAACAAGCTATAATAATTAAAATATACTAATAATATGAAAATTTATTAGGGGGCATTTTTATATATACGCATTTTTGGAGCCACCATTGACGTTATACCTGCATTGCACAAATTTTTGTAAAATGTACTTATTCGGGTATGAAGCAGTTCAATCTCTTCAGTACAACTTCCAAAATCAAATATGAAGTTCTTCTATCCTTCAAATGCAACTTCAGAAATTCGAATCTTAAGTAGTTCAATCTTTTCGATATAACTTCAGAAATCAAATCTTAAGTTCTTCTATCTTTTAAATGCAACTTCAGAAATTCGAATTTTAAGTAGTTACATCTCTTCAATGCAACTTTAGATTTCGAATCTTAAGTTTTGAAACATTAACTTGCTTGTTGAATTTCAACAATCTAATAGACGATTCAATGCCCAAATCTACTCCAAATGAGGCTAAATTTGAAACATGACTCAAATATCATAAAGAACAAACCTCACTCATTAAATTGTCAGAACAACAACAAATTTAACAAAGTGATTTTACAACTAAGAAGTGTCTTTCTCTGTCTCAGCTCCCCCCAACCCCCTACCACTGTTAGCGTCAGCGTACAACCGGTAACCACCGGACCCAACTGCAATTTTTTCTTTCGCCGCAATCTCTAGTGTTGGATCCTACAGTTAATACTGGTAAGTATTGGTTTGAGCTGAAAAGTTTGTGCTTTCTGTTCAATTTTAATAGGATAAAATTAATTATATAGCATTTCTCTAGGAAAAGGGAATTTTCCTCACAAATTTCGCACCCTTCAAGTTTTTCTAAAGATCTGTTCTTTTCAAGTTTTCTAAACATCTGTCCTTTCCAAGTTTTTTTTCTAAAGATTGTTCTTTTTCAAGTTTTTCTAAGATCTGTTCTTTTGAAACTGATTTTCCTCCGTTGATTAATTTTTTTGTTTTTAGATTTGATATTAGATTCCAAACTTTTGTTGACTGGTTGCCTTAGATTTAACGTTTTACAATTTATATTTAATTTTTCCAAAAAAATTTGTAAAGGTTTCGATTTACATCTGTTTAGCAATTTTCAATTTTGTTGTGTGCTAATTTTTAACTCAAGATTCAACTTTTATTTGTGAAACTACGCTAAGATTCAAAATTTCTAATTAGTTGAGTTTTATTAAACTACGCTAAGATTCAAAATTTCTAATTAGTTGAGTTTTATTAAACTACGCTAAGATTCAACTTTTATTTGTTCATTTTGTTGTACCACGGTAGAACTTGGTGAATTTTGTGTAGCTCTCTGCTTTTTTCCTACATTTCCCCTACTACTGTTAGGGCTACACCAGTGGTAGCGGTGACAGCCCTTTTTGGTTTTTGGGTAGAGGTATTTTCTGTGTTTTCAGGGAAATTCTCGAAGTTGTTGGAGACAAGTTGGGCGTACGAGCACTAGCAAAGGAGAGCAACCTGGACGAGCGTCTGCAACGGACGGTGGGAAGCGACGCGTGAGTGTACAACTACATTAAGTATAGCAAATCAGCATAGGTTTGGTTTCCGGGAGTTGGTACCTCCCGTTCTACTGTTTCCCTTTTGGTGTTAGCTAAATTGATGTTACTTTAGTTCACAATAGCTCAATCATTCAACTAGTGTACTTGTAGTCATTTGTTTCCTTCTAGTTTGATTCGTTGTCAGTTGTGCACTAGTGAGTCTTCTTTAGATTTGTCGTAGGTGTAGTGGCTACAGTTTGGGATGATAGATTAAGGGCATGTCCCTGGGTGCGGCAGAGTGTGGGGCCGGGGTCAGGGTGTGGGATGGGAGGCAGGGGAGGTAGAGGGGGCAAGGGAGCCTATAGGTTGAGAATCGGGTCATGGAATATAGGTTCGCTAACGAGTAAGTCTATAGAGTTGGCGAAGATACTTCAGAAGAGGAAGATTAATATAGCGTATGTCCAGGAGACTAGGTGGGTTGGATCGAGGGCGAAAAATGCGGATAGGTATAAGTTATGGTACTCTGGAGTCCTGAGGGGTAAGAATGGAGTGGGTATTCTGGTAGATAGCCATCTTAGAGAGTCGGTGGTAGAGGTCAAGTGGGTGAATGATAGACTAATGACTATTAAAATGGTGGTGGGTGAGTGTACTTTAAATGTCGTTAGCACATACGCGCCGCAAGTAGGCTTGGATGAGGAGATTAAAAGGCGCTTTTGGGAGGGGTTGGATGACATCGTTCGTAGTATTCCGCCTTCTGAGAGGTTATTCATAGGAGGAGATTTCAATGGTCATATTGGGTTGTCTGCAGGTGGTTATACTGAGGTGCATGGCGGATTTGGTTTTGGGGAGCGGAACGGAGGGGGCACTTCGCTGTTGGACTTTGCCAAGGCATTCAATCTAGTGATTTGCGAACTCAAGTTTTCCGAAGCGGGAAGAGCATCTGGTTACTTACAAAAGTTCGGTGTTGAAGACTCAGATTGACTATCTCCTCCTAAGGAGATGCGACAGAAGGTTGTGCGAAGATTGCAAAGTTATCCCAGGTGAGACCCTTGCAATGCAACATAGGCTTTTGGTAATGGACATTGGTATTATGATAAGGAGGAAGAAGAGGTCAGTACGAGGCCGTCCGAGGATTAGGTGGGATGCCTTGACTAAGGATAAAGCTCAGGAGTTGGAAGGAAGGTTATCGGCAATGGGAGCTTGGAGAAGTAGTGGGGACGCAAACATTATGTGGTCAACGAAGGCTGACTCTATAAGGAAGGCGGTGAGAGAGGTGTTAGGGATATCTTCGGGCCGCACCGGTGGCCACAAAGTAGATTGGTGGTAGAATGCAGTTGTCCAAGGTAAAGTGGAAGCGAAAAAGGTGGCGTACCTGTGGTTCATAGGGAGCACTGGAGAGGAGGAGAAGAGAGCGAACCGTGAGAGGTATAAGGTAGCTAGGAAGGAGGCGAAAATGGCAGTAACGGAGGCTAAGACGGTAGCGTTTGCTCGTCTGTATGAGGAACTAGGGAACAAAGGAGGGGAGAAGAAATTATTCCGACTTGCTAGGGTGAGAGAGAGGACGACTCGGGATCTGGACCAAGTGAGGTGCATAAAAGATGATGACGACAAAGTTTTGATAGGGGATGACCAGATTAAGAGGAGATGACAGACCTACTTTCATAAACTTCTAAATGAAGAAGGGGATCAGGATATTGTACTAGGTGAATTGAGGAATGCCGACAGCCCCCATGAATTAAGTTATTGTAGGGCCATTGAGGTCGATGAGGTCATGGAGGCAATACGTAAGATGAGGAGGGGCAGAGCTACCGGGCCAGACAAAATTCCAGTTGAACTTTGGAGGTGTATGGGTAGAGCATGCTTGGAATGGCTTACTGGGTTGTTTAATGTTATATTCAAGACTAATAAGATGCCTGAAGAGTGGAGGTGGAGTACAATAGTTCCGTTGTATAAGAAAAAAGGCGATATCGAGAGTTGTAACAACTATAGGGGTATTAAATTACTGAGTCATACCATGAAAGTCTGGGAGAGTGGTAGAAATGAGAGTGCGAAGGATGGTGTCTATTTCAGATAACCAGTTCGGGTTTATGCCGGGGCGATCTACCATAGAAGCTATCCACCTTATTAGGAGGATGGTGGAACAATACAGGGATAAGAAGAAGGATCTCCACATGGTGTTTATCAATCTAGAGAAAGCGTACAACAAGGTTCCGAGGGAGGTCTTATGGAGATGCTTAGAGGTTAAAGGGGTCCCGGTTGCCTACATTAGGGTGATTAAAGACATGTATGATGGAGCTAAGACTCGGTTTAGGACGGTAAGAGGCGACTCCGAGCATTTTCCGGTTATTACGGGGTTGCATCAAGGGTCTGCATTCAGCCCTTTCCTATTTGCCCGTGTGATGGATGCCATAACGCATCATATTCAAGGGGAGGTTCCATGGTGCATGCTATTTGCTGATGACATAGTCCTAATTGACGAGACACGACACAGCGTCAACAGAGGCTATAGGTTTGGAGACATGCCATTGAGTCTAAAGGTTTCAAGTTGAGCAGGACGAAGACGGAATACCTCGAGTGCAAATTTGGGGCCGAGCCGACGGAAGCAGGAGTGGAAGTGAGGCTTGACTCTCAAGTCATCCCTAAGAGGGGTAGTTTCAAGTACCTTGGGTCAGCTATTCAGGGGATCAAGGAGATTAACGAGGATGTCACACACCGTATAGGGGTGGGGTGGATGCAGTGGAGGTTAGCAACGGGAGTCTTGTGTGACAAGAAAGTGCCACCGTTACTAAAAGGTAAGTTTTATAGAGCAGTGGTTAGGCTTGCTATGTTGTATAGGACCAAATGTTGGCCGGTTAAGAATGCACACATCCAGAAGATGAAAGTAGCAGAGATGAGGATGTAAAGGTGGATGTGCGGGCATACAAGGATGGATAAAATTAGGAATGAAGATATTTGAGAGAAGGTAGGCGTGGCCCCCATGGAGGACAAGATGCGAGAAGTAAGACTCAGATGGTTTGGGCACATTCTGAGGAGGAGCACTGATGCACCAGTGAGGAGGTGTGAGTGACTGGCTGTGGTGGGCACGATGAGAGGTAGAGGGAGAGCTAAGAAGTATTGGGGAGAGGTGATCAGGCAGGACATGGCACGACATAGGATTACTGAGGACATGGCCCTTGACAGGGAATTGTGGAGGTCGAGCATTAAGGTTGTAGGTTAGGGGAAGTTGTGAATATTTCTACAGCGCACTAGAGTAAGACTAGCCAGTTAGGAGTTAGTCCTAGGATGCTACTGATCAGCTACTGATGCAGAGCTTTATCTATTGGATATTAGTATACCTTCCATCATTTTCGTATTTCTTATATTTCTTATATTGCTGTTATTTTATGTTATGTATTTTATGTTATTTTATTATGAGTTTATTGATAGTTCTAATATATCGTCTCTTGTTGCTTTCTTAAGCCGAGGGTCTCCTGGAAATAGCCTCTCTGCCCCTCAGGGTAGGGGTAAGGTCTGCGTACATATTACCCTCCCCAGACCCCACTTGTGGGATTATACTGAGATGTTGTTGTTGTTATTGATTTTATAACTAAGAAGAAGAAACGTAAGCACGAAGAAGAAGAATTACCCAAATTGGATATTAGCTAAAAAAATTTAAAAAGTGAGAATAAATTCAATGGATGGTACAAAACTGGGTGCTACATGAAAAACTTACATTTATTATTAATGTTTTGGGCGGCTTTAGCCCAACAAGTAGCATAGACCTCGGGTAGTTGGGGGTACGTGTAGATATATTCAATTTTGGGGCCACCATTAAAGTCATACCGATTGTGCACCAAAATTTATAAATTTATCCACTTTATAATATGCGATTGAAGTTACAAAGATATGTGAGTGAAGTTTTTCTTAGCAATACCAAAATTTCATACATTTTTTTCTAAAGTTTAGCCTAGACAAATTCAAAACCTCGGACATTTTTGCCTGAACTGCCAAGTCCAAACCTTCAATTTTTTTTGTCTTTAATTTAAGACACCAATTAACACAGTAGAAAGTGCAAAAGTGAAACTAAATTGCAGAGGCTCACGTATTAAAACTAAGAACGTGTGTTACAAAATATTATAACATACAACTATATAAATAAATAATATTTGTACACAAAGGCAAGATACAATGATATGTTTTTGAAATTCTTATAGTAAATTTGTTACAGGGACAACAAAAGTGTAACGACCCCATATGTCGTTTTGTATACTAGCCTATATTTCAATGTTTCGAGATCTACCATAGCTTTATTTGATATTTTTTGATTTACATGCATAATCTGAGTCACTTTTTGGATTAATGTGAAGTTTAGAAGAAAATGAATTTTTTTACTTAAAGTGAGGCTAAAGTTGATAACGGCCAGCATTTTGGGTAAACGACCTCAAGTTGGTGGTTTGACGATTCCGGTAGGTTCGTATGATATTTTTGGACTTGTACGCACGTTTTCTTGGGGTCCGAGTGACCAGTGCGCATTCCGGAGAGTTATGTGAAAAATTATGAAAATGAGTTTTAAAGTTGAAAATCATGAGTTTTGATGGTTGATTATTGTTATTTGCATTTGCGAACATTCCTCCGCTTTTGTGAACTCTGGTAGCTATTGACAGCTTTGCAAATGCGAAGCTTTTATCTGCACTTGCGATGGAGGGCTAATTATATTTGCGAGATTATTGTCGCATTTGTAACATCTGTGCACCTGATGCACTGTTTGCATTTGCGAACAAATGTATGCAAATGTGATACTTGTAGCTGGATAAAAGAGGGGAAAATTGGACTTAGCTCATTTTACACCATTTCTTAACCCCAAACACTCTAGAGGCGATTTTTGGAGAACTTTTTCTTTTCAAATTCATTGGTAAGCAACTCTAATTCATTTTCTATCAATTACCCAATACTTTTCATGATTTTTTAACATTAAATCTTGGGATTTTATGATAGAAATTAGGAATTTTGGGTAGAATTAAGGATTTCGCAAAATTGAGGTCGGATTTTGAAACAAATCATGTATTCGGACTCGGGAGTGAATGAGTAATCGAATTTTGATCCGAATCTCGAATTTCGACCAAGCGGGCCGGCGGTTGAATTTTTCAAAAATGATCAAAATTGAACCCTTTTCATTTGTAGGTAGTTTCTAAAGTTTATTCTAAATTGTTTGATCGATAATTGGCTAGATTCGGTTGATTTGGAGGCTTGTTCGAAAACAAAGACATTGTTGATTGTTGATTAGGTTGCGGAGTGAGGTATATCATGGTTAATTTTGATTTGAGAAAATTAGGACTTGTTGGTTATTTGCTGCGTGAATTATGTGTGGGGACAACATATATGTAAGGTGATGAGTATATATGTATTGTCATGGGTTAAAGCATGCGGATGAAAATTGATTTATTGTACCATGTTGTTTCATTTACTATGTCTTTTATGCCTTAGTTAGATTGTTGTTCTTTAATTGTTCACTTTCATATTTGTTGCTTATTTTGAAGTTGTTGGGATATTGAAAGTTGAGTTTTAATGCTTTACTTATTATTTCCGTTGGTATATATATAGATAGATAGGTACAGATTTTTAGTAGGTGTCTTGTCTTAGTCTCATTATTACCTCGTCGGGGTTAGGCTCGACCCTTACTAAGTATATTGGATCGGTTGTGCTCATACTATACTTCTGTACTTTTTGTACATGGATGTTGGTACCAACAGAATCCTGAAAGGCACTTAGCGGATACTACACTTCTACACTTTATTTCGTATTAATTGTTGTGTTGGCTTGCCTAACATTCGGTGTTAGACGACATCACTACCTTGCGATTGGGATTTCAGGTCATGACAAGTTGGTAACAGAGTATTAGATTGTCTAGGTCTCACGAGTTATGAGCAAACTTAGTAGAGTTTGGAGGATCGGTACAAAGACCTCTATACTATCTTCTAGATGCTATAAAGCTTTAGGAAACT